CTACATCTCATTTTCTTTCCAAGGGCACCTGTGAATGCTCAGGTAAGATGAAAACTACTCATACGTACAATTACATCACTGAATTCTTCTTGGCCTCTGCCACACAAGAGAATAGGCTTTCTTGGCAACAGCGAGATCGAACTTTAGCACCGTGTATTGCTGATGTACTTCCCGTGACACCTGTTGTGATAGTTTTAAGATATGCTGTACGGTCGCATTTTCGGTGACGGGTGCAAAAACTGGAGCCATATAGTCAATAGCAGATTGCTGTACAGATGAATTCTTGCTTGTTTCTGTCAACGACACCCACCCTGCCCATGGAGGGACAACCTGAGCAGCGTGACGCAGGACCACCCCTGAACGACACAAAAACCACAGTGTCAGATGATTGAGCCCTGGTTTCATCCAGAGTGTAAGCTGCCTCTGTCTTAGAGACTGTTGTATTTGGCTCGACCTTGTTTTTTGCATAGCAGAGCTCAATGTTTTGTGAAGTGCATTTCGCAGATCGGCTCTTTGTTCTAGCCTGATAAAATTCTTCTGGGGATTCTGAAATGTTTTCTTTGGTAGCTGAAACTTCCTGGATGATAATGCCATGAGCAGTATGTGTTGTACCTGCACCTGATGGTGTTTCTTTCGTCAAGTCGAAGTTGTCCCAGCACAGGTGGGTAACTAAGTTTCTGTTTGGGCTGATTGTCGATGGGATAACACCTTGTCACTCATCTATAGCTTTGCACATAGCTGTTTCTAGCTCTTTAACTTGTGAGTAGGAAGCACAACGACCAAATCGATTAACCAGCGTTATGACTTCAGCACTACCAGTCAAGTGTCGCAATGTCATTCCAAGAAGAAGATGCTTCGGCAACGTCCACTTTCCATTCGTAACAGCTTTGCAATCTTGGGCAAAAGAAGTCACCAATCTTTGCCTATTTTCAGAACTATCACTCTTCACAGAAAGCAAACATTCTAGAAATTCCTCAAGGCATGAAGGTCGCCGTTTATTATCACTTACGAGGAAGTCTGCTTATTGGGGCCATGGCATTTCCTCAGCCTCAGCGTACGCAACCTGAATGGCCCTTCGTAAAATAGATGCCGCCTCTTGAAGTCTCTTGGTTTCAGAGGCTGCTGCTTCAAATGCTACTTCAATCGCTTCTTCGCCTTTGCTAATATCTGATGAATACACCAGCTCACTTTTATAATTTGGTTGCCAGAACTGAATTGAGCTTCCAAATCGCTTCTCTAATTTTGATTTTAAGTTTATCAGTTTTGTAATCAGGATTATAGCAGTCAGGGTTATTATGCAAAATGGAGGTAAGATACCGTTCTCGAAGCATCGACATTCTCTCCACTTTCCCCCCTGAGATAATTGATGCGTTTACATGTTCACATAAATTCTCAAATGCAGCCTTGTGAGCAGCCTCCACATCTGCCTTGGCCCCCTTGTTCTTCCTTTTTAGGTACATCATGCCTTTCTTCTGAACGAGTGTAGTTTTTCCGGCACGAGGCATGATAGTGTGCTTCTTTGGTAACTAGGTCAATATCCTTAATCTTGAGTAAAATGACTTCATCTTGCTTTGTCTCTGCGGCCCTCTTTATTGATTCTTCGGCTGTTTTGGTAACACATTTGACTAGCTGCGCCCCTTTTCCTGACTTTTTTATCCGGCCTTTGTCGCAAAAGAGACACTTGTCAGCTGGTAATAGCCTTAATGGTGTCGAAGCCGAATGTTGTGACACTCTGCGTCTTTTCACCGAACTTTCTCCGAACTCTGAACTGGTGTTAGGTGCTTCCTTTTTGCGCTTCATAATTCTGGACACATTCGTAAAACGTTGGTAACAAGACCTATGATATCCATATTGGGCTGGCACAAATGCACTTAATATATTTGAGCAAATATTATCTAGTCTGTTTTCACTATCTTGTGATTGCCTCACTTCAGCAGCTGCTTTGATTTTTTGAAAGCTAGTTTCTGTCATAACAGTAATACTTCTTTCCTTGACGTCGGCAAAATGAATGGAGCATCCTTGAACTTTCTTTTTTCTTTTTAGTTTTTTTGATTTTAGACTTTTGATCTTGAAAGCCTTTTCACCCTGAACTTTGTCTTCTTTTTCCATTAGAACTTTCTGAAGCAGTAAAATCCCCGAAATCGCCAAATATCAACCGACTAACACGTTTTGCTGAAAATAAAAGTCAGTAAGGTTTAAAGTTGGTAATCATTTAAAAAATGTCCTTGGCATAGATTAAGAGACAAGTATAATTTAGAATATTTTTATGAACAGTCTATTCAGGTAAGACTCTTTTTAAACAATCCTCACCAACACTGTAGAGTTTATTTTATGTAACAATGATTGAAGAAAGTTGAAGAAAAAAAATGAATGGAATTTTTTGATGAAAACTTTGTTATAATGATGTCGATTTTGACCTATTAAAAATCACGTTTTGAGCCCTGAAAATGCACCGGAATACATCTTTCGACGTTCAAACCCCCTCCCGTACCCTCCCCTACGTGCAGCTTTGCCGCACGGCGCCGCTCCGCGGTGCATTAGTGAGTCGGGTACAATTCAATTTCCTCCTGCTGCTTTTTATAAAAATGAAAACCCTGCTTGACATTTCTTTTGTTATTACTGGCCTGCCTGTGCGGCCCAGTCATAAAACGGGCTTTCGGTCGTCTGCGGCGAAAAACGGCCGCCCGGGGGAGGGAAGACACGAGGGTCTGGTACGGAGAAACGATGTTCTCACAAATGGTATCATATGAGTTTCTCTTGCACGGAGCCTTACACGGATACTTTTTGTACCTCGTCTCTGCTCCCCCTGAAAAACCCACAAGGCGTTGCGAACCTGAAGAAGGCTATTTGCGTTGTTCGAAGCGATTCGATCATGGGAGTCACTCTATAATTTTTTTATTGTTCGAGTTTAAGTCAGTTAGATGATGTTGGCGCTGGGAAACTCAGAGAAATGCTCGCGTTGCATTCAAACCGACACGCCGTTCACAGTAGGTTTACAATTAAAGATGACTGTGAGCGTCAGGTTTGGAAGAAGCACAATTTATGAGAAAAGTATTTCACTAGTTGACGACACTATGGCTGAAGACTTGATTGTAAGCCTTCGTAGTCAGTGAAGCGAACAACTCAGTTGCTGATGAATGGCAGATGAATCCCGATGTTACGCACGTCCATTCGCGAGGGACGTGACAACTTTGCCATGTTAGAAGACTGGCTTTTCCTTTAAATATTTCCTTCTATTTAATGCAACACACGCCACTTTGGAGGTCTAAATTTCGGATACTGAGGATAAAGAAGACACGGACAAAAATAGGGACTCTGAGAATTCGCACTCAAGTTTAAAGCTTCACCGGGACATCCCATCCGGGAGCTTCACAGAGAGCGACTTGAGGAAAATAGGAGCCATTACTGACAAGGTTTGGTGACTGAGAAGAGCATACAAGTGTAGCCCACGTTGAGGTTTCAGGGGATTTGCTTTTGTTTCTGTCTGTATCTTGTTAAGCTTTTATCATTAAATTTGTACATGATCTTGTGATCACAATTCTGTGTTTTCGCCCATTCAGCAAGCACGCTATATTGATGTCAGCATTAGCGAGTTTCAGAAACATGCCTTTGAAAGTTTTCAGCTCTCGTGATGATTCTTGATATTTCTTTTACCATTTTATGGAGATGTAAACTGAAGTCACCGCAAAATGGAAACTTAAAAAAGCGTATAATCCATTTATCTTGAAACATAACACACATGACTTATACGACCTT